CATGCAGGGAGCCCGACGTGGGACTCGATCCTGGGTCTCCAGGATGACACTCTAGGCTGAAGTAGGCACTAAACCGCTGAGCCACCTGGGCTGCCCTGAGGCCCATGGTTCCTGGGGACATGCATCAGCACGTACCACATTAGCTCATGGTGGCTCTTCACGTCTACTCTAGGCGATTCTGTGCTAGGTACTTATGTGCCAGGGTCATCCGCTCACCTCTTAGGATACTTTTTGAATATCGATGCAAATTTCAGGAAGTCAAACACTTGAACTGGCTGGCACCATTAAATGGTCACTCAGGTCAGCCCAACCCCAAGCCTAGCTGTTGGGGTGTCCCGGCTAATCATGCCATCGGAGGCCAGGGTGCCAGTCCACAGCACGAGGGGATCAGAGGCCTTTAAGGAGGCTGGCCAGGGAGCCCAAACTGCTCCCTGCTCCTTGCTCCCACCTGGCATGGGCTCTAACCCGCTGCCTTCCAGGAGTGGTTTACCCAGAGTGACTGCAGAGAAAGTGCCCTCCTTCGAACAAAGGGACTCAGAAGGTTTCCTGCCAGCACTTGGGATGCTTTTCTCCTAATCTTCCAGTGCAGCAGAATCCCAGGTTCCTAGGCATGCGACCTTTCTTTCTCTCCGTCCCATCGTGCCTCCCCTAAGGTGGATCAGGTGTGCGATTACTCATCTGGGGACAGCGGAGCCGGTGTCTCCACCTGGGTGGTTATGAAAAGATTGCCTCTTCCCTGCTCATCCAGGAGGGCTCTGTTTGGGGAATCCAATGTAAGGGTGTTATCCTTTTTTTTCACACCCGTGGGCCCTGGGGCAGATAGACACAGAGACCTAGATGTCCTTAAAAACAGGCAGAGCCTGGGTTTTCATGGTTGGAGAGGCAGGTTTGGTTTCTCTCTCCTCTTGGGGAAGCTGGGGGCTTTGTTTCAGTGTGTGTGTGGTTCAGGGGAGACTAGGTGGAGAATTAGGAAGCCAAAATCAGTCCTGGGTAAGAGCAACAAGTGACCCACCTGAGTGTGGAGTAGCTGGTACATGATAGTGAAAATAAGGGTCATGACAGTGCACCTCTGCCTTTGACGCGGCTTCGCATCCCAGAGCAGCCTCCTCCATAGGAGAGGCTGTGTTCCTAGGCCATGGGGGCTGGCGTTTACAGATAAGGGAACTAAGACCCCACAGGGTTAGCTGCATTTCTTAGGACCACACAGTGACCGTCACGTAACTATCAGAACTCATATAACACTTGGATGTGGAGGCGAATATTTTGAGCCCAATGTGCCTGTAGTGAAAAGCTTGTTGTCTGAGTCCACGGAGACTGGGTCTCACAGCTGCCACTCCCTGCAAGCTGAACACAGCCCTGGTGGCTTCCCTGTGTGGCTTCCCAGTGGCTCTCAGTATGTGTGTGGTCCCAGCACACTTTCTCCAGCGACTCAGCTGGCCTGTCCACCTGGGATGTATGGTGAGAGGCAGGAGCAGGTGCGCGGCCGTCAGGCTCATTCTGCACCATCGTCCCCTCCTCACCCCCATCCCGGGAGGTCCCATCCTTCTCTGCTCTTTCACATCCCTCTCTCTCTCTGTGCACCAGGAGAGTGCCCTGGCATCCTGCAGCCCCTCTGCCTGTCAGGGGTGAAGTAAGACAAAGGTGCAGCCTCATTGCATCCCACTCCCGTAACATGTAGGGCTACCAGCCAGCAGCAGATTGTTTGTGGGCTAAAGCCAGGAAAGAACACAACACACACGCCAGTGAATGGGAAGACATGCAAATGGAGTTAAATCACTTTGAAGACAAATCAAGTAAAATCGCCAGGAGAACATGTTTGTGGATTCAGGAGCTGAGCCGAGGGGTGCGTGCTCTGCTGGACACAGTGCATGTGTATAAGGAAGGAAACCTGCCAGAATGTTCTTGCCCTGGCCCTGGGAGGGGGTGCGGAGGCCCAGGGCAGTAGGGGCAGTAGAAATAAAAGAGGAAGAACAACCAGAAGTGGCAGTGAAAGAAAAATGGCAGATAGGAGAGGGAAAAGGTGACACAGAGGAGTCAGAGCTTGTGGCTGTGGGCAGCCATGGGTTGTCCGCGAGGGTGGCTTTGCAGAGGCTGGAGGTTGGGAAATATCTGGGTGAGATCCAGGCTCTGCCTGGATGAGATGACGAGCCTGGGAGCCTAGGCAGGGAGTCGCGAGTGATGGTAGAGGTTGGGGAGTGGGTGAAATCAGTGAGGTCTTCCTGGACAAGTGCAAGCTCTGCTCGTGCTCCCGGAGTGAGGCCCTCACAGAGGGAGTAAAGTCACGTTTGCCCCGGGCTCCATGCCAGTACATGGTGAGGTGGTGGCCCTTCCAGGTGTCTTGTGCTGGACCCACCCTCTGCTGGGTCTCTAGGGCGCCTCTCCCTGTTTGTGGGCCTCTGGCCTCCCTGTGTGGTGAGGTCTCCCCGTCCTCTGCTCTGGGTGGAGTGAGTGCAGCCCCTCGCAGTCCCACCAGACCTGCATGGGGTGGCATAGTCAGTGTTTCTGGCTCTGCAAATCAGGCAAGTGGGGCTTCCTCCTTGCATGGACCACACCTGCATGGAGGCAGCTCCTCTGTTCACTGGGGGGGAGAATGAGGTTGGTGTCATTCAGCAGCTTTTCCTAGGAAAACCCAACCCTCTCCAGTGTGGGGATGTGGCTCAAGGTCAAGGGTGTGCTCACTGGGATCAAGGGTCAAGGTGATCTGTATGTAGCAGGTGAGCTTAGAGTGGAGCATCCAGTCCAGCTGCCATGTGGGGATGAGCATGATGGCCCCATGGTCATCAGCCCTGCTGTGCTGGCCGTGCTCATGAGGGGCAATGCTGGGGGATAGAGGGATGAGCCCGGCCCCACTGTTCCCACAGGTACCTCATCCTGTGTCTGACTAGATGGGTCAAATCATACTATGGTGAGAGGCAACCCCTGAATCTCAGCAGCTTAAAGGCCACCGGCCTGTTCACACTCACATGCTCCTCCATCACCTGGGCCCTCTTCTCACCTGGGGTTTCGGGTGGACGGGCTACTCCCCACCCTAATGCCCTCGCAGTGTCGGGGAGAGAAGGGCCTCAGAGTGGGTGGCATTGGCTGGCCAGTGCCAGGGCCTGGCTGCTGGCGTGCTGCTGTGTGTGACTCACCCAGTGTGATCCCCAGAGGTGGGCACTGTGCAGCCAGTGTAGACACCTGGCAGCCTGTCACTGGCCCCGGGGTGAGAGGCAGGTCCTCATGTCCACACCATTGTGGCTGGAAGCAAGCGGGAAGGGACCCCGCACTCTAGTGAGGTGGGGGAGAAATGGGAAGAGCCTCTCCCATTGGTAGGGGTGCTATCCAGAGACAGTAAGAGGCCACTGGGAGAAGGCCCCAGAAGAGCACGGTTGGCAGTTTCCCTCTGTGTGGTGACAGTGACCAACCTCCCTGCTTGGGAGGTTGAAGCTTCCACTGTAAATCAAGCCCTGAAGATGGGAGAGGCCCTGGGCCTGAAATCCAGCATGGACTCCGCAGGGGAGGTGAGCAGGGCTGCAGCCGGGACACTTGGTGGGCGGTCCTGTGCGGAGGGGCTGTGGGGATGCCCACTCTTCCCCGGTGGCCAAGGCCTACAGGCTCGCTGTGACCTGGGCTGCTGTGTCTGGAAAGCTGACCCCATTGGTAGGACTCCAGAGCTCCTCGATTCCAAGGCATGGGTCCATGCGTTCATCCCTGAGCAGACTCCTGGGTAAGGAAGATGCTGCTTGTGCCCTGAAGCACATCTCTTACAGGGTCGTCTGGGGCAGTTAAGCCCCGTGAACACAGGGAGGGATGAAGGAGCCCAAAGATGGGACAGTTTGAGGCGGTCTGTTTCCTGTCCACAGACGCCCTGGCTGGTGAGCCAGGCTGCATCCGTAAGGCCAGCAGTCCATGCCGCAGACCCACACCCTGGCCGGCTCACCGCATCCCATACTTGCTCAGTCTAGGAGAGAGCGCGGGTGTGTGTGCTGGGGGTGGGAGGAGGACACTGACTCGCTGGGGGAGGGGAAGGTCCAGGAGGCCCGCTAGGTGAGGTCAGGGAGCACGAAGTGGGCCTGAGAGGGCTGCAGGAGCTGCAGGGGTGAGGGATGGTCTGAGTGGGGCTTCCCTTAGGAAGCAGCATTTGAGATAAGCCCACGAAACTGGCTGGAAAGATTTTTCTAGGAGCTCAGAGGCATTCATGCCGGCTCAACAATGGGCCTCGCACTGGCTCCTCCGTGATGGGGAAGATGGTGCACTCCCTCTCCATCTCTGGGTTTCTTTACTTGCCTGGGGAACCACATTTCTTCTTTACAGTCACAACTTTGATTTCTGTTACGACGTAAATATCCTGGGGAGTTTGTAATGACTTTAAACTCTTTTTACCAATAAATAAATAAATAAATAAATAAATAAATAAATAAATAAATAAATAAATAAAAATAAACTCTTTTTACCACTTATCCCTGGCGTGGCTGCATTGGGGCTGGGGAGCCTGGTCTTCCTGCCAGCTCCCCCAGCATCTCCTGGTCCAGGCTGGCCTCTCTGTCCTCCATTGTCGCTGCCATTCTCTTTGGGCTCCCCTGGTCCACCTACCATCAGGAGAAATTCTGTTTTTCCTGGCCCGCCCACATTTGAAACAAAAACACGTATTTGCTTTAGGTTTGCCAGGTTGTAGAGGAGGGTACGTAGGCCTGGAAAGCCAGGAGCAGGGCACTTACAGGATCGCGGGTGTTTCTCTTCTCGCTTTCCACGGCCAGGCAAGGATGACCCCTAGAAGCAATAGCCCATTCTGGTAAGTAGGGTGCCTGAGAGCCTGTGTTTGCTGCACATGGGCATGAAGCGTGGCTGTGGGGCCACAGGGAGAAGGATGTAGCAGAGATGGGCTACATCTGATTCGGTGCCGCTGCAGGAAGGCCAGTGCGTTGGCAGTGCGTTGGCAAGGTCGCCAGTGCGTTGGCAGCCTGGGGGCAGGAGTGACCATACCCCCTGTAATGCAGGCCTGTGTCTCTGCCCCCCTACAGCTGGTGCTACCAGAATACTGCATCCACAGCCTCTTCTGCATCATGTTCCTGTGTGCTCAGGAGTGGCTCACCCTGGGGCTGAACGTCCCTCTACTTTTCTATCACTTCTGGAGGTAAGTCTGGAGGTGGGGCTGCTCTGTGCTTCCTCCTATCTGCTTGGGCACCGGCCCTCCAGAGACAATGACCCCCAAACAGACTGGCTGCCCTGTGCCTCCCTCCCTTCTCTGCCTTTTGGAGACCTGTTCTCTGCGGCCTTCTTTGCAAGCTACTTGCAGATGGCACCCCGTGAGGGAAGGCCTCTCTCACCAGCTCCACAGCCTCAGCCCACAGGGATCGTTGTCGAAAGCAGCTGCAGCTATTCAAAATCACCCCCAAATGGAAACAGTCCACATGGTTGCCAACAGATGAATGGATAGACACACGGTATGTCCTTGCAAAGACACATTATTTGGTAATAAAAGGCAGTGATGTAGTGATATGCGCTGCGACATGGATGAGCCCTGAGAGCTCGACAAGTGAAAGAAGCCAGTCCCAAAAGGCCATTCATGTGAAATGTCCAGAAGGGGCAAGTCTGAAGGGAAGGGAAGTAGGCGGTGGTTGCCAGGGGCCAGGAGGGTCAGGTGGGGCCTGCTAACAGGTGCGGACTTACTTCTTCTGGTGTGAAGATGTCCCCATACTAGGTGCTAGTGATAACAGGACAATTCTCTGAACATGCTAACAATCACTGGATCGTGTACTTTAACAAGGTGAACTTTATGGCACGTGAATTATATCTTTTTTTTTTTAAGATTTTGTTTATTCATGAGAGACACAGAGAGAGGCAGAGACACAGGCAGAGGGAGAAGCAGGCTCTATGCAGGGAGCCTGATGTGGGATTGGATCCCAGGTCTCCAGGATCACGCCCTGGGCTGAAGGCGGCGCTAATCCACTGAGCCACCCGGACTGCCCTCTTTTTTTTTTTTTTTTTTTTTAAAGATTTGTTTGTCCTGGGGATGGGGCACAGAGTGAGAATTCTGAGCAGGCTCCACCCCAGCAAGGAGCCTGACATGGGGCTCCACCACTCACGATCCGGAGGTCATGACCTGAGCTGAAACCAAAAGTCAGAGGCTTAGCTGTCTGAGCCCCCCAGGTGCCCCTGAATAATATCTGAACAAAAAAGCATCTACCAGATGGGCTGGATTTTCTGGGACAGTTCTGATTTTAAATATTCTATTCTCTGTCAAGACTAGGCATCCGATCACATGATTTGGGCTTTTTGTAAAATACTGTCGCCATATGGACGTAGGAGGTAGGAAGGGGAAACCGAGGTGCAGAATGCTGCCGTGCAGGTGAATCAAGCACTCTTGACCCCTTGCTCCCAGCACTGCTGTGCCCCACATATCTCCTCATCGTCCTCTTACCATGAAACATAGCCGGCATTTGTCACGTCTGCAGCACATTCTCCTTCATCTAGTGCACCTGGGAGACATGCCCCACGCCTGGCCCTGTAAGAGAGTCCAACATGGGTGTGAGATGGAATCTTCACCTTTGATGCACGTTTATCCCAGTGGTGGAGGGAAGTAGATTCTTAGCAGATGTGAGGAATGCGCGCAGATGGGCAGAGAAATTTAGGGCAAAAAGGCAGGGGGTCACTGCGAAGTCTGCAGGTGGGGGGCGAGCCCAGCACAAGCTCGGAGGTAGGACAGCACTGGGTTAGTGTGGTTGGATGCACGGCTTTTGGAGGGACGGTGGATGTGGGCTTGATGGACCACAGAGGGGTCAGGCGTGGAGGGTCCAGAACTCTCTGGTGGGGGCGTTGGAATCAACGTCTTCTGTAGGGAATGGAAGCTCTCAGAAACTTTTGGGGGAGAAAGTGGCACTGCCTGACTCAGTGTTAGGAAAGTGACCATGGCCACTGAGTAGGGGGGGGAGGGTGAACTTGGGAGGACGTGTCCAGTTAGGTGATCACAGTGGAATCTCAGGTGAAGAGACGCAAGAACTGGACCCCCAGGGTTACTGCTCGATAGAAGTGGGAATGGACAGAGAGGGTCTGTGGATGTGAGCTCGGCCAGTGAGCAGGTGCAGGGGTGGGGCAAGGGCAGCCTCGGCTCTGCAAGCTGGCAGGGGTGGCGCCATTGACCTAGAGTAGGAGGAAGTGCAGCTTTAGAGAGAAAGGGAAATGACTCAGGGACACAAGAAAGTCCTGTGGGTTTTTTTTTTTAAGACTTAATTTACTTATTTGATATATAGAGAGAGTGAGCGAGTGTGACACAGGGCACAAGCGGGGGGAGGGGATGGGCAAAGGAAGAAGCAGACCCCCCCGTTGAGCAGGAAGCCTGATGCAGGACTCAATCCCAGGACCCCAGGATCATGGCCCAAGGCAAAGGCAGATGCCTACCCGACGGAGCCCCCAGGCGCCCCAGGAGAGTCCTGTTGTGAGCGACGGTAACCCACGGAGGGCCTGGACGACTGTCAGCTGGGAACACTGTGCTGTTGGAATCTGTTTCCTGCCCATCCCGGGGCTTTGTGGGCTCAGCTTACCCAGTATCCACACCAACAGGTGGACCCTTCCCTGTGTCACACACAGATCAGGGGGACTGTCGCCCAGACTCCCTGAGCTGGGACACAGCAGGCCTGGTTCAGCCCCCACCGTATGGATCACAGCCTGTGTCCTTGTCACCCGGCCTGCTCCCTGTGAAAGCCCCCTCTCTGCAAGAGAAATCTATTTAAGAGTCTTCTAAAAAAAAAAAAAAAAAAAGAGTCTTCTAGTAGCGTGTCGCCAGCCCAGGGAATCAAAGATGTGGTGGATTTACAAGACTGACTGGTGCTCTTCCAGCACGGGGGAGAGGTGGACACAGAGTCCTTGCGTGTGCGTGTGTGAGGGAGTGGCTGTGATGTCCCCGCCTGGGGGACCTTGTCTGACTGTGAAGTCAGTTCTGGCAATTCCTAAGTGCTCAGGAAAGGAAAAGAAATGGGGAGAGGAGGGTCCTTTGAAAATGAGAGTCCTTGAACACCGTCTGCCTTGGGCTTCTGCTCCTGCCTCCCCCGGGCCCAGGCCGGGACGTTGTGCGGACTCGGCCCCTCCTGCCCTGGCTCTCGGGTGCTGGCGGAAAGCAGCCCGGGCACCTCCATTCAGTCCTGTTCTTGGCAGAGTATCACATCCAGCACCATGCGTCATGATGCCCCGTGGAGTGGACACTTTCTTCCCCATTTTACGGATGACAAAGCTGAGGCTCAGAGGGCCAGAGGCCAGCTGGCAAAGGTCAGGCTGGTGGCCGGTGAGCCACAGAGCCCCGGCTCTCTCCACCAAGCCGCTTGGCCACCCTGCCGCCCCTGCCCTCGCTGAACGAGGTCTCCCCAGAGGCCCCTGGATTTTGAATCTGCTGCTTAGGAGGCAAGGAGTAGCCTAGAGAACTGAGAGCAGCAGCATCTCTGAATCGGCTTGTGCTGTCCTCCTGGCACCCTGTGATGACCGACACTGTCGCTGTCCTCTGAGGGGGTGAGGCTCGGATGGAACACCAGGTCCCATGTTGCTAGTGACCAGGCGCTCTTCTGAGCCCTGGAGAAATCTGCCTAGAGCTGCTCTCCGGCCGGGCCTCCTGCCTCCACCAGAGTGACAGCAGCCCTCCGAGGCTGTGCCGGGGCCAGAGGTCAGCACCAGGGTGGCCCTCACTCCTGTGAATGAGCCTGCTGGGTGTTTCTGCATAGACTTCAGCCTCCCTCTGGCCCACTCCCTGTGCTTTCCTGCCTCAGGTCCCTCTGCTGCCCTGTCCCCATCATAGCCAATGCTCTTTGGCTGTTCAGGATCCTTCCACCAGGAGAATAGTATCTGAACACCACACCCCAGCAGGCACGCGACATCCCTCCCCTAGCGTTCAGGTCTGAGTAAAGGATGGCATTAAACCCAGTCATTAATGATTCAGAGAGACTGTGGTTGGTGGAGTCGCCCTTGTTCCTGAGCTGACACCCACGTGGGTGCCTGCGCCCCTGGGACAAGAGGCTCTTGTTGGCGCCCACAGGCAGCTCCCGGTGACACGTTTCCCTCTATTGGAGCGGCTTTGTCTGCGGGTTCCGTCCCCATTGTGCCAGGGTCCCTGTCTCTGGGAGCTACGCCCTGCTCCAGGACACTGCCGGGCTGCAATGCGGGCAGCCACATGTGGGCGACGATGCAGGCAGAGGTGGACCACCACTTAGTAGAGATCCCTTGGACACAGATGGCCTCCCATGTCCCATCCGAGCCTCAGAGCCAAGGGTGCTGTGTCCTCTGTCCCCGCAGGTATTTCCACTGCCCGGCAGATAGCTCGGAGCTAGCCTACGACCCACCGGCGGTCATGAATGCCGACACGTTGAGCTACTGCCAGAAGGAGGCCTGGTGCAAGCTGGCATTCTACTTGCTGTCCTTCTTCTACTACCTTTACTGGTGAGTTTCTGACCCTCCTGGTGCTTTCATCCTGCGGCACATGGGGACAACTTCAGGCCACCACTGGCCCTAGGGGGTGACCTGTGAGGGTGGGGGTTCCAGCCTGCTGGGTAAGACCCCAGCCACCTGCCTCGGAGGCGATGAGGGTCCTGCAGGGGTCTCCCACTGGCGGGCGCGTCTGTAGGTCCGCACAGTGAAACACATTGTCCCCGCACCTTGGGGAGGGGGTTGGTGAGCTGCAGCTGGTCATTCCTCCCCCCCGTAGGGCTCTCTCCACAGCTCAGCCACTTGCGTTCTCTGTAGCCCCTGGACACCTCGCCTTGTGGCCCCTTGCAAGCATCTGGGGAGCAGAACAGAGACCCTGGGTGGCGGTCACCCTGGGTCATTGCAAGCGCACACTCACAGCTCTCCCGATATTACATAACGCCATGCCGATTACGTAAACCGTGCTGACTCTGCGATTGTTCAGATGCCTCCCTTGTCTGCACCTCTGCGCATAGCGGCCCAGCCAAGCAGATGGCCGTGAACAGACTGCCTTATGGCTCGGGCCCCAAGGGTGCCTTTTCTTAAAGCATCTCCCTCCTGTTCCTCCTCGGGCACATCTCCGGGATGCCTCATCTACCACCTCACTACCCGGTCGCTACACGTGGCCACGAAATCTGCGGGCGTCCCAGGGCTGCTGCTGATGGGAGCCAGGCGAGGAAGAGGAGGGTGGGAGTGTTAGCAAGGCAGCCTCAGGTTTGGGGCAGGCTGGGGCCTGGCTGCATTTATCCACACTTACAAATGAGCCGGGCTTGGAGCCAAGAGCGTAGTTTGTATGGCCCAGGCTAGGGGCTTGATGCCATCGTCGTCCACATGTTAACATTTAGGAACCTGAATCCCAGATGTCGGATGCTTTCCTGTGTCATGGCTACAAGTGCATCTCAAGTCTGATCCCAGACGTGAGGCTGTTAACTGCTGGCTGTCTTAGGAAAGCTCGAGAAAAGTCTTATGAAAGTGTGGTCTTTGGGCTTTCTGCATCAAGTGAGGTGGATGTACTTCTTAAAAATGCAGATTCTTGGGCTTGGACTGGCTGACTCAGGATTTTGTGGCTGGGCATCCCCCTGGGGGTGAGACCTGCCCCCAGGATACTGCTTGGATATGCCCCCTTGCCTACATACGTCCCAGCGTCCAGAAGACGCGAGGCCCTGGGCATACACCTTACCTTGGGGATAACTCAGCCTTGGAGGGGATTCACAGTTATTCTGATACATTCTTCTTGGGGTCAAGGGTTGGTCCAGGCTCAGGATGACCCCTTCCCCCTCCTTCCCTATGGACCATCCTGGGACACTGTCTGCGTCAACTTACAAGGAGCCTGGGGGTCTCTGAAGCATCTCTGGAGAGGCTGCGGGGGCACGAGGGGGCGGCAGGGGTGGTGTTGGCAGCTCCTGCCCATTGGCCAGTAGTGATCATCCTGTAAATGATCGTGTTCCAGACATTCTGTTTGACTGTATGTCCTTCAGTTCAGTCTGGCCCTGCCTTCATGCTGCATTTGTTAATTATTTCGTTGCCAGAACAAAATTAGGACAACTACTCCTCCTGCTTGCAGGGACCCTGGGTGACGGCCAGGGCTCCCCCTTCTTTGTTGAATCTGGTGCCTTGAGGCTCTGCAGAGCTCCCCAAAGATCCCATTTCTCCCACCACAGAACTCCCAGCTGCTTAGATCCAGGGCTCTGGGGCACACAGGACTGTCAGCCCTGGTCATCTCATCGCGGGAGAAGGGGAACCAAGCATGTGGATAGCTATGTGCAGGCTGAGCACAGTGCTGGACTGGAGTGACAGCCACTGGGAGCCTGTCATGGTGGGGTTAGCATCTCACAGCTTCCTCGGGCTCCCCAAGACCTCACAGAGATTAAGAGGTGTGTCCGAGGCCCTTGTCAAGAGGTGTCTATATGGCCTCACAGCCAAGGCTCTTCACAGCATTGTGTGCTAACCATCCCAGTGGGTGCCCTGTGGACCAGGATGTGTTTGCAGGTTCCTGGGGTGGATCCTAGCTAATGGGAACATGAGCAGGTTAGTCCAGTGTAGACTGTCTGCCTGCTCCATGTAACCATCTCTCAAACCAAGAGGTGAAGTAGCACCACCCTCCTGCTATTGCTCTGGGTCATGCTACTTCCTTCATGTTTATTCCTCTGCCTCTATATCCATCTTATCTATGGCCAACTTGATGGCAGACACCCCGTCTGTCTGTCTTACTCGCTTGTGCACAAGCGAGGGCCCTGGCCAGAACATAGCACATAGGATGTACTCACGAGCTCCTGGTTGTTGCTGGAGCTTGGCTGTGCACCACCTCAGGGCAGGCACCGGACTGCAGGCTCACCATGTTTCTCAGCACCGAGAATGGTGCCTGGCATGCAGGAGGCGCCCAATAAATGCTGAATGAGTGAGTGACTGCAAGTGAGTAGAGCAGGTAAAGGGCATCTGTGATGTCACTCAATGCTGTCATGGAGAGTACATTGGCCTTGGCTTTTTGCTTTTCCCTCCCTGGCTCTGTGCCCTCAAGTGATGCACTTCTCATGTGACCCCTGGCTTCCCCAGGTGCACTGAGAGCCTCCAGCTCCGGCCTAGCCAGGGATGCTGTGTGGGCACGAGAGGTACCAGGTTCTCAGAGATGGAACTGCACGTGCTCAGAGGAGCTTGCTGGGCCTTTGAAACTAGGCAGGGTTAGAAGTAAAGCAGAGCTTCTTTCATTGGGTTTTCTGTCTGAGGTTATCCATTTCCCTCTCTATGATGTGAAAATGTGGTTGTTTTTGTTTGTTCCAGGGAGGCTAAGTGGTATATTTTGGCAAGGAACATCCTCCATCTTGCAGAATTAGCCTTCAGCCCTTTCTAGAAGCACAGGGATGCATGACCTCCCTCCCTGGTAGTGTTGGGGCACCACCCCAGGACACATGCTCTCAATGCACATTTGATGCCTGGATTCCATTAAAAACAGGAGGTCCAGGGAGTGACCCTATAAAGAATTCATTTAGTTTCTATACGCAGAGGGCCTGTGTTCACACATTGGGCCTTGGAATAGTGATAAGGGTCATTTCCCAGCAGTGGGATAGGATGTGGCATCATCTGGGCTCCTGGATGCAGCCATCACGTGAGCATGTGGCAGCTGGTAGGAAGAGAATCCTCTGCACTCCACACCCCAGAGACCTGCAGCTGCTCCCCCCTCCTGCAGTGTCTCACCGACCTGGCTGGTCTCGTTTAAACCCCATTACGAAATAACCACGCAGTCACTTAGGCCGATCACATATTTTATCCAAGGGACACAGTACTCGCTCATAGCAGATGTTTAGTCCAACGTGGTGGGAAGTGGGGACAGCAGGGGACAGACACTCCAGTGCCAGGATGAGAAAGAAGCCACCCCTCCCCTTTGGTGAGGGTCCATCTGAGTCCCTTGAAGGCTCCCACTCACCCCTTCTCTTCCTCTTCTCTCCATATTCAGCATGATCTACACACTAGTGAGCTCTTAGCTCAGACTGCGCACCATCAGAGGCTGAGGTCACGTGCTGGTGGCTGGAGAAGGACCCAGATGGGGCCATGTGAGAGACACCTGTGGACTGCCAAGGTCACGGAGTGCAGGGGCCGCTGCCCAGCCCGCCCCAGGGTTGCCATCCCTTCTGGGCCGTGGGACCTCTCCTGAGCCAGGACTGCTGAAGCAGCGGTCCCTGAGCGCACCTCACCCACAGCTCTGTGCCGTGCACACGGAGGCCCGGGACCACGCGGGAGGGGCGGCCGGAGGCTGCACGGTGCCTGCCCAGGAGTGGAAGGACCCAAGACCCAGGCCGCGTCTGGGACCCTCGGAGCCCAAGGGCGTGGCGGGCTACCCGAGCCTCTCGTGTTTCTTCTGACCCCTGGCCATGGCCTGCGCTTCTGTGGGAGGGCCTGGGGGTGCATGCATTCGCCTCTGGCTCTAAAGGCCCTGACCCCGCAGGCCGTCTGCTGTGGGAGAGCCAGCTCAGGACACCAGGAGTGGGGCCTGGGGCTGTGTTGGTCAGGAGTTATGTCCAAAGTCAAGAGGAGGTGGGAATCCGAGGGAAAAACGATTTTTTAAAACCCCGACATGTTCAAAGCGTTAGTTCTTTGCCACCACAGACCGTACTCTGCTGCCATCAATCGCAAACCATCACAGAATCAATGAATGCAGATCGATTGCTCAACATTGGCAAGGCTGCCTTGTCTCGAGGACCCCAAGCGGCCGCGAGCCCAGAAATGCTGTGGTGCCTGCTTTGTGCCAGGCGCATCCGGCGGTTGGGGGGTGACACGGCGGGGTGACATGACGCTGCGCTGTTCCCTGTGTTAGCTCCACGCGAGGACACTCGCTTAGTTAGAATTTTCCATATGACATTCTCTCCTCTTCGGGTAGGAGTTGTCACAGGGGGTTGTAAATAATGACAAGGCTGAGATGTTTTGTGTTTAAATTGGGCACAATGATTCCCACTTCATTCCCCAAACTTCCCTTCCTTTCTTATGTTTGACACACACAGGCTATTTATACCTGTACCCAGCTCCGTCGGGGCCTGTGAGTCAGGGTGATGGATGGTGCTGGTAACGCCGAGTGCGCTATGTTTAAACTGCAGTGGCAGCTCAGTGTCTCACCGACCTGGCTGCTCTCATTTAAACCCTGTTACAGGCTGGCTTCGCCTCTGAGTGGTTGGTAAACTGGTAGCTTAGAAAAAAAAGTTTTCAAAAGGTGTTTTGCTTCTAAAAATTGTAGAGAGAACAAAACTCCGATTTCTGCGCTGAGGCTGAAGGTATAAAACCGGGGGATTCCAGGCGGTATTTTGGGGAGCGACTTGATCCAGGCAGTGTCCATCGTCCTGGCTGGGTTTCTGGGGCTCTCAGCCTCGTCTCCGACCCCGTTCCCGGGAAGACCCGCTGTGGGAGCCCTTTCCCAGCCATGCTTCTCACCCTGGAGCTGTCTTGCTTGTTTTTGTACTTTGCCTCCTTCCAGAAAGCTGTGAAGTGGCTCGTAGTAGCAGATACAAACACAAAGAGACCATGGGAATGGAAGTAGGGATTTCTGACACACTGACTGCCTGAGGTTCTGTTTACTGAGATTGAACATTAAATGTTGCTTTCCCTTCGCAGTAAATAGTAGTTCACATTTGCCTAAAGCTTCACCTTCTACAGATTGCTTTCACATCTTATTTGACCTTCCTCACCATCCTGTGTGCTCCATACACTTCTTTTTCCCATTTTCCAAGTGAGGAAGCAGAGGCTCAGAGAGGGTAAGTGACTTACCTGTAGTCACGCAGCAGTCACAGATCTGCTTTTAAACCCAGGTTGCCTGACTTCACAAACCCCATGTCCTTTTCTTTTCTTTCTTTTTTTTTTTTTTAAGATTTTATTTATTTATTCATCAGAGACACACAGAGAGAGGCAGAGGCACAGACAGAGGGAGAAGCAGGCTCCTTGCAGGGAGCCTGATGTGGGACTCGATTATGGATTCCAGAATCATGTCCTGAGCCAAAGGCAGAAGCTCAACCACTGAGCCACCCAGGCATCCCTCCCATGTCCTTTTCTGTCGCCTGAAAGCCAGCAAAGTAACTTAGGCTCTTGTTACAGTTCCATTAGTCTGAACTTGAGAAAAGGAGATCTAAAGACATAGAGCTGTAGATGAAGTGCCTCGTTTTCTTCTCCTTCTGTGAGAGCCTCAGACTTGCTTTGCTGTGGCAGGTTCTTCCCCCAAGGGGGTCCTCTGCAGGTGCAGGAACATCCAAGTACCTCCCTCCTACAGGCTGTGACTAGGAACAACTCTGCTGCTCTGTCAGGAGCTGGAGCCAATTCTCAGGTCCTGGGAGAAGTGAATCATGTGCATAGAGGTGAGAATGGTGAGCACAGCTGCTGGAGCAGTGCTGGGTGCCAGGTGGTCACCCCAGGTTAGCGAAGAGGAAGCCAGGGAAGCTTGGGGTGTGTGAGTCTGCCCCAGGGACCGAGCCAGACCAGGGCCCAGCAGTAACCACAGCTCTAAATCAAGGTGTGGGAGGACGTCAGAGGCCCTCAGCTAGGGAGGGCGGGCAGAGCAAGGGCCATCATTAAAGCCCCCTTGTGACTTTCCCCACATAATACTGCCTGCTGGGATATCTTCACCTGTCCTTGTTGGTCCCACAGAATCGACCCCAGGCAGGGAGTCAGTGGAGCCGGGGTCAGTGCCCTGGGTAAGTCCCACAGTGGCTGATGGATGGCTGTCCCTGCCCAGCATGGCTCTGGGCACTTGGAAGAGAGGTCTTCAGGGGCATAGGCATCAGGGAAGGTGCTGGGGGGACCTGGTACCAGTTTCCTTGGAACATCAGAGCTGTAGGCCAAAGGCACAGGGTGGAACCTGCTGGGGTCACTTACTTTTCACATCACCAAATGACACCCACTGCACGACTTGTTAGGTTAAATGAGGTAATATTTTCAGAGAACCGAGATGAGCTCCCTGTACATGGTAAGTCAGGCCCTCCCTCTGTAGGAGCTGGGTCTTCCTTGCCATCCCCACAGTGCCCTGGGTGCATCCAAGTCCACGGCCTCTGGGGCAGGGAGGTCACCTGGACCAGCTGTCTGCCGAATGCCTCATCCCGTCCACAATATCCTGACTCCTCTTCCAGCACCGTGCTTGCCAGCCCATGGCCACTGCCCTTGGACACTGGCCCTGGCAGGAGTCCTGTAGAGCACATATATGCATGGTCTCAGTGCCACAATATTGCAAAATAGGAGCTGCCACTGGGTCCAGTTGCAGTTCAAATAGTCCAAATGCTGAAGCTGGTGGAAGTTACTCGGGTGACTGCTTGCCCTCCTCCTCCATCCAAGTGAGGAGGGCAAGCAGGAGCCATGCTGTCTGAGCTTGGGGGTCTTGTGCAGGCTTCCCGACCTTTCTTGACACTGAGCTTTCCTACCTGGAAGGTGAGGGAAAACACCTGCCCGGCTAGAGTGGTTGTGAGTCCTGTGCAGATGGCCTGCCTCGTCCCAGGCGCTCGGCCCACGTCGGTCCTCAGGGTGGCTCCCCGCCCGCCCTTGCAGACTGAAGACAGCCTTCCTAAACAGAACCTCAGCTGCCATCCTTCCCACTCCCATCCTGCGGCCGGCTGTCCCCCGTGTGCGACCCGAGGACACAGCTCAGCCCTCCCGAGCAGATCTCCCCTTTCCTTCTATTTTTAGGCTTGGCAGTTGCACTGATGTTGAATGAAGTTGTGGCTGTTGAGACAGTTCTGTTCTCCCTCGAGAGAGATGAGTAGCACCAGCAGGTGCTTGGGCAGCTGCACAGACCCCTCTCCCAACCTCCCCCATTCCTACACGTGGGCTGCTCCAAACCATGCGCTGGTGAGAGTGGTCCAGACCTCAGCAGAGGCTGCGGTCCCTAGGTGTTGGGGGAGGCCCCAGGACTGGGTTTTGGCTGCTCCCGTGCCCAGGAGCCATGCAGGGTAGCAGGCCACAGCAGGCTTTGCCCCCACATTGCTACGACCATCTCTCTGCTGCTCAGCTCTAGCCAGGTGGCTCTGGGTGCCCTGGGAGTGTCTTCTCGTGCTGACCTTGACCTCTTGACCACCATGTGATGCCCACATATTCCTTCCTTCCCAAATGGCGGAGTGCTAGGCTGTGGGAGCCAGTTGTTAGGTTTCTTGGGGATCTTGCTCAACAGCTGTCCAACACAGCCTTTATAAGAACTGGTTATGTAAGCTTAGAACAAAATAAATTATACTCAAAACAAAGGTAACGTAGAGTCAAAACTCACCACCTCATGATTATGTCACTACATTTTGCTGTATCTGTGCTCTTGAGGTTACGTGTGTTGTCCCAACGGTGGGATCGAGGTGTCCCCGTGTGCTTTGGTGAGCTTGATGATGTGCAGCTGTAGCTTGAAATTGGCCATGGTTGGAGTACTTGCACCACAGAAGTGAGCACAGGTGGCAGATCCAGTCCCCTCCTCCCTTGCATGCAGTGCTTCTTGTTGGAACTTTACTAATTCCTGGGGTTCACACCTGGCTGTACACAGTACTCCCAGCTCTGGCACCAAAGGTGATACTGCAGAGCCAGTGACCAAGTGGCAGGTGGGCGGCCAGTACCTCTGAAGGCATGGGCACCACAGCACAGTGTCCAGGCCCTCAGGGCCCGACCTGCTGTCACCCAGGCAGTGACACCCATCCTAAGTCTTGACGGGGTGGGCCTGGATGTGACGTAAGTAGACTTCTCTGCTGAGTGGAAACATGCTTTTGTACTTTGGCCTTGATCCAAGTGCCCTTGAGTCACTGTGGGGGCCGCCATCCTTCCTGTATGGTGGGTCCCATCTCAGGGGTCTTCTGCACCCTCCTACTGCTGGACACATGTGTCTTGTGTGAATGCTGGGGTGAATGCTGACCACACTCCATCATGTTATCCACCCTGTAGGGGATCTTGGGGCTCAGGGCATCTCAGTGAGGCCTACAGCTGTGCTTTGCACACAGATAAGCTCATGACCTGCAGCTCCTTCTCTGCTGGGCTCTGCAGGCTGGCGAGGGTGGATGTCTGTTCCCGGCCAGCCCCAGCCCTGCAGCTGCTGATCATGCACATCTCCTCCAGGCAAGACACTGTCCCCCCAGACCAGGCACCACAGGGGCAAATGCACATTGGTTGAGAGACTCACCGGCACAAGGAGGCTGACAGCCAGTGGAGAGACTTCCAAGCCACCGTGGCGTTTCTGAGCAGCAGACCCTATCCCTTCCAGCGATGCTTGGCATCTCAGAGAAATGGCATCTCCTTTCTGGTAGGGTTACATCTCTGAGATGTTAGAGCAGGGCACCTGGGGAAAGTGAGAACCAATTAAACACCAGTCCCCACATTAAATTATAATGAAGGCATCCATCAGGCCCCCATTCTGGGGATGGTCTGCAGCGATGGAAACAGCAGAACTAGAGGTTCTCAGGGAAATGCTGCTGGTTCGTGGCCTCACAGGACAGGTCATCTGATGCTGTTCTGATTTTCCCACAGCTCCATGGAGGGTACATTTGATGTCGAGGTGGCATTCTGGGCTCCGCGGGCTGCGGAGAGCCCTGTGTGTGGAGGGGTGTCAGGTAGAAGCAGAGTTCTGTGGTCAAACCCCCGTGGGACCTGCAGCTTACCTGTGCAGGGGGCTCTGGCCCCGGCATCAAGGGGGAGGCTGGTCGGCTTGCAGGGCACTTGCGATGAGGGGGGAGTGGGGCAGAGCCCTCCGGTCGAGGGTGGCCTGGGAGACGAGTGTGCATTGGGGTGAGATAGGTCCACACAGGGAACTGAGGATGGGAATTAGTGTGAAAAAGTCAGGCTTGGCCAAAACTGGCCAACAGCGCTGATGAGAATTAATCCACATAATTCAAGGGCAGAAAAATGTAGGAAAGACTGGATTCAGGATCCCATGGATTATAAACTCCAGGAGGACAGGCTTTCATTAGGTAGCTCCCAGAGCTGAGCAGAGTTTTTATTAGGCCACTGCAAGTATATGTTGAATGAAATTTTGGATCACATCTGGAATCAGCAGGAAGCAGAGAGCCGCTCCGGTTGGTAGGAACCCATATCTTGGGAGGACTGTGGGGGCTTCGTGCAGCCATGTCCTGGACACACCTTGCTGGGCTCAGGAGCAGTGAAACAGGTGCAGGCACTGCCTAGGTGCCTATAGATACCCCCACTGCAAAGACCTCTCTGGGCTTGTTCTTCTGAATCAGGAAGATACAACCCCTAGGCTCACAAGAGTATATGGTGGCTCTGCAGTCATGGAATGACCAACACTAGACTCCACCACCTTCCATGCTCACAACAGCTAGAAAACCTTGAGGAAAAAATGAGCCCAGCTTCTGGTTGCCACTCCCTGGCTTGGGAGGGTCTGGCACACAGATGCAGTTGTGGCCCAGCCCTCGAGCAACAGTCCTGGCAGACAGGTCGACCTGCTTGAGGCCATTAGGATTGCCTGCGTTGTCCACAATGGCAAAGAGTAGGGAGAGTCAGGTGCATGCTGCTCCTCCCAGCCTGGGCCTAGAGCTCAGGTGTGCAGTCCCGCTCACCCACACAGAAGATGCGCCCTGCAGCTGGCCGGTGAACACTCAGCAGCACCTCCCCCATGTGTGTGCACTGACCATCAGTAGGTCATTGTGCAGGTGTTAGACATGTAGTAGCATAGAGTCTGGGGAGGAAGTTCTGGGCTAGCGCTGTGCATTCATAAATAGCCTTCTGGACGATGAGAGGGGAAGAAGAAAGAAAAGGAACAGGTAATAGTTTTATCCATAATATCCTCTCTGGTTGGTTTTCATCCTTGAGCCTTGCCTTCTACAATCTCACCAGTAGCAGTGGGTGTTGGTGGGGGGCAGGAAGGTGTGGAGTCCCTTCCTTGTGAGTTAGAGTCGACCGCTTGTACGCACTCATGCACACACACTCACACACATATTCACACACCATGCACACTCACGTGTGCACATATTCAGATACATGCATGCACACACTTATACAGTCACACACTTTGTCCCACGATTGGCCCCTCCTGTCTTCTGCCCTTCTAAACTTCTGATGAGAAGGAAAAGGAAGTAGCAGGAGAACAGGAGGAGGGGGAGAGCGGAGGGCACAGGAGAAGTCAATCAGCTATTTTAAGGACATGAAAGTCTCCTCATAAGTCATTACAGTCTCCTTGCCAGTTCATTTCCTTTCGAATGAAGTTGAAAGGTAATCTGGTAAGTTTCATTATCTCTGCATATAATTCATAAGTTCAGATGAATTACCAGGACATAGTGTGTAGGAGGATTTCAAGGTCTGGCAAGGTGACAATTACAGGACCTCACTGGAACTGACAGCTGGTATTGCAATGATCTCCTTTTATTGAGATTCCCTGTATGATTAGAAAAAAAAAAATCCCAGCAAACTGAGTCATGATCAGTGGCCACTGCTGCTCCCACGTAGATCCCCAGAGGTGCATGTGGTGTGTGTGCAATGGCAGAGCCTCCATGGCTGACACAGGGCTTTGTAGGCAGAGGACTCTCATGTGTAGCCCATGACAAGAGCAGCTCAGATGTGTGCAGAAGGGCGCGTTCAGTTGCAGAATCCTGTAGAAGGCTGAGAAAGAGAATCAGAACTCAGTTATCAGCACAAGCCAGCTTGTTTGTGAGAGCCTCTGCTCTGCTCGGGCTGGACATGTATCGCCATGTCCATTCTGCATCTCTCAGGTAAAGACAGAGCATAAATGTTTGTCGGGTGGACCAGGAGAAAAGGTGAAGCCTTCTGGAAGCAGTAAAACATTGCTTTGTGCTAAGTATGCTTAAGCTGGCGAGGTATCTTCTACAGCCTTGAAATATGTGTAAGCTTATGAAATAAACTCATGAGTTTCAGAATAATCACACAGTGAGTGCAGACATGGAGTACCTATATTAGATTAGTACTTGAAAGTTAATTCATCTATTTATTCATTTGTATATTACTTATTCACCCACTTACCTCATTTATTCCATGAAGGTTTATAAAATCTCTGTATAACATTGAGTGTACAAAAATGAGTAAAGTGAAATTGCAGCTCTCAGCCCTCAGACAGTTGACACCTATCTACTTCCCTGCCTCTGTCTCCATCCATCCATCCTCCATCTCCACCCATCTTCCATCCCCATCCAATTATACATCCAACCATCCATCCGTCCATCCATCCATCCATCCTCTATTCAATCCCATCCATCCATCCATCCATCCATCCATCCATCCATTCTCCCATCCATCCATCCATCTACCCATCCATCCTCCATCCCCATCCACCCCCCCCCACCCATCTATCCTCCATCCTTCAGCCAGCCAGCATGCCCACTGGGTCTTCAGCAGCCATCAAAGATTCGAGTGTATTTCAACCCCCAATATTATAGCTCTGTGAAACTCTGAAGCCCTCCCATAGTTCCTCTGTAATCTCAATATCTCCTCCTTCTCCCTGCCACTATGCCTGGACAGTCCATACTCCCATTGGTATGAACTCAGAGGCTTGCCCCATCATTGTTTTTGCCTCTCTAATTCATATGCCTCAATTATTTTGTGAGTTTAGTAATTTTACATAAGATGAGGGGGAGTGGGGGGAAGAGCTACAGCATGGAGCCTTTGTCCTTAACCCCCTCCTCTCCCTTCCGCTCATTCTTCTTGTGTTTCCTCTAAAGATATACAAATAAATGTGACTTGTAACCCTCCCGGCTCCAATACACACACACACACACACACACACACACACACGCACGCATGAGCACACGGGTGTATACACACACACCCTGCAGTCTCATATTGAATAAATCGTATTCTGGAGGCTCAACTTTTATCCCAAGTTAGTTGGTCAAAAACAGTTTTCTGAAGAAACCTTTCCAAAAGAAATTCTAGAAAGAAAAAGGATAGTTTCCCCCTCTAGTCTATATTATTTATCTATGTACATTCTATCTTAAAGCCCGAGTCTTAAGGCCTGGCCTGGATGAATGAATGTGGGATGGGAGAAGACAGACAGGCAGGTAGGTGAGTTACATGCCCTAAAACTAGAGTCAGCTTTCATATACTTCAGAAAAGGAGCATGGAAAACTTCAACCACTATGGTTCTATCGGCATTTCCATTTCTTAAGCTAATGTTCTTGAAGATCTTGGCCCAAGATCACACACTGAAAGGTACAAACATGCATTCAATCAAGTTTAAGCAAAAAGGCATGTATGAGTTATCTCTTGCTACATAACAAAGCACCCCAAGACTTAGCTGCATAAAATAACAAACATCCATTTTCTAAGGGCCAAGAATTGTGGGGTGGCTTAGCAGCATCCTCTGGCTTTGGGTGTCTCGAGGTTGTAGGGATGTTGGCTGGGCTGAGGTTACCAGAAGATGGAAGTGCCTCTGGGAGGCTCTGGCTGCCAGCAGGGCTCGGCTCCTCGAAACGTGGGCATCCCCTCATGGCATGGACATGCTTCCTCCAGACAACCCAGCGGGGAGGGAGAAGTAAGTCCCTTGTATTTCAGGACCCGGCTCAGGGGTGGAGGGGACTGCACAGGCCTGGCAGCGAGGCCATTTGGGAGACTGGCTACCTCTGGCACAGACTTACGGACAGCAGATCCAACCTTATGACCGACCATCTGAGTGCAAGAAGCCAGGAGAACTCAGCTGAGAGGGCAGGAGCTTGGATCTCTTTCACCCCTGTTGGTGTTGACCGTTACTGCCAGGGCTCACACTTCCTGAGCAATTAGCCTATGTCCTGTGTTAGGTGCTTTGCAGAGGTGATCACATTTAATTCCAGATCACATGCCTATTTCACAAAGGAGATGGAACAGGTGATGTTGAAGGTTATCTGGCTGGAGTTTCTGTGCGTCACTCTGACATTTCTTTTCGTGGAAAGCCACTGGCCACTGCATTAGGTTTTCATGTTCTAGCTCAGGGGCTGGTCCTTTGGAGACCGTGGGAATAGCACCCTAAACTAGGGGGGATCATTTAGCATGGCAGGCAGATTGGTCAGCATGTGTGCCAGAGCAAGCGATCACTGAGTCAAGCTGAAGACTTTGCCTTAATGACGCCCTGGGTAAACAGAAGTCTGCATCTGCAATCAATAGCTGAAAGCATTGAAAGTCCTGTGGAAGATTCTCATTCGGGTACCAGCATTTAAATGTATGCGACTGTTTTTCATATTGAATTTCCCATCTCGTCCTGGCGTGCCATTCTGCAGCTGAAGGAGCGGGGGGAGGGGGGGGAGGGTTTCAGAAGGTGACACAGTATGAGTCCCAGAGGAAGGGCCTCGAGTGGGTGTCTTTGGAACATACACCCAGCTCCTTTTGCCCATGAAGGAGAGAGGATAGGAGCCAGAATTCTCCTGTAAAAAGTAGAGAAATCACTTAAATACCAAGCACTTCATCCCACTCTTTTATATTTTTATCTCATTCCATCTTTTTATATTGTTTTTCTGTTTCTGGTGAATTCATATCCACCAAGCTGGCAAATAGGGGGAGTGGATAAGCAGGATCCATTTCTGAGACAGGGGAGTGCTCACTCACTCATTCAACAAACACCGTTGAGCTTTGGCATGCGAGGTGTCCTGCTGGGTGGTGGCCCATGCAGAACTCATTCAT